CCCCTTATACTCCCTCCTAAACTGCTGGGCTGAGGGCCGGTGACACTCTACAGGCAAGGAGATGCCAGGGCTGGCTTCATGGGCAGGTAGCCTGTGCTCAGAAGGGCTTGGTTTAATGCTCTGCTGGGTCAACTTGAAATTCATAATGATTTCGTTCATAATAATTTTTGAACAAAGGGGCTCTGCATTTTCACAAAATTACCACCTGCACACACTCAGACACTCAAATGTTCACACACATGGTTTTACATGACAGCTCCCCGGATGATAGTCATGTTCATCATAACTGCCAATTAGGAAACACTCAGCCTATGCCAGGACATCTACACACTTCATCTTGCTTCATCCTCAAAACAGACAGCAAGGTAGGCATTCCGATCCCAATTTACCAGATAAAAAACTGCAGCTGTGAGTTCCAATCCTGTCCATTATCATATAACCAATAAGTAGCAGAGCCAGGACTTTTCGTTTTCAACCTCTCTTCTCCTCCCCACCACACATGCATTGTGTTCAGCTGCTTCCCCATGGGCTGAAGCGCCCGGCTCCTCCATATCCCCTGCCCCCAGCACAGGGCTACATTTTTATTAAATGAAAGAATTCACATACACACATACTCCCCAAGAAATACAAGGAAAGAGACACACTGAAACACAAAAAATATGTATGTAACACATAATGTACCAGATAAGAGGTGTCCAGTTCTAGACTATTTGGGTTCAAGTCCTGACTCTACTATGTATTAGGGGTGCATCCGTTTTCTTATCTGTACAATGGGAATGGCGACAGGGTTGTTGTGAACACTATGAGAAATGCACGCGAAGTGCTTAGACCAGCATTGGCACAGTCACTCTTCAATAAATGTTAGCTGTTGCTATGAATAACATGTGTGCACACACACACATGCTCTCGTGCCCACCACACCATCTTCCCAGCCTTCTTCTAGTCTTGTGCAGTCCTAGATGCCCGCATGGCTGACAACTCCAGGCCCCAGAACCAGAAGGGAAGAGCAGCTGCTTCTCTCGCATCCTCCGTCCTCTGGGGCTATACCTGGGTGGGCTCATGCGTGTGTTGGAGGGGGGTGGGTGCTGCTCCTCACCAGCTCTGGGTCTATCAGAGGAGGCTTCCTGGAGGAGGCCTCAGCCCAAGCAGGTTGAGCCAGGCTTAGGCAGGAGGGTGCTGCCCTGTGCCTTGGCTCCCTCCACTGTTCCTCACAACACCCACCTCCCAACCTCTGCTGCAGCGCCCTCTCTCCACCCACTTCCCCACAGCAGAAACTTTCCTCTCCTCCTGCCAGAAGCGTAAATTGCCCCCAGGAATGCACTGCATCCCACAGCTCCCCTGGCAGTGGCCGGCAGTAGTCCTGGGGTCAGGCCTGGCCCTACATCAAAGGCTGGGGATCCGTAACAGCGAGGCTCCTTGCCTGCTGCCACCCTCCCCCGCCTCCCACCAGCCCTCTGGCTTCCAGGGAACAGCACATGGTAGCACTTAAGCTCTGGGAGAACGGGAGGATGCTTTTCCTGCACCACCACCCCCAACCATCCACAATGAACTACTTGTTAGGAGACTATTTTAATTTTACTTAATGCAATTTCTGCTCCTAGGCCTCTGTTGCCACCTCCTTCTCAGACCTGGATGCCCAGCACAAATGTAAGGAGGCCAATCCACCAGGGAAAGGCATAACCTGAGTATGGAAATGTCCTGGGGCAGGAACAGGACTCCAGCATCAGGGGAACTGGTGCTCTGGTCTCGACTCAAGAGGTAAGGGGTTGGTTAGGGGAGGGCTCAGAGCTAGCTTGTACAACTCAGCAGGTCAGCATGAGAGTCTGGGGTGTGTATGGGGGCCAAAGACTTCATAGCCAGAGTGTTCTTTCCAATGCCCTGGGTTTAGTAGGCAAGCCCTCAGCCTGGCAACCATCTGAGCTTTGCATTCAGGTCTCGTGGGCATGACTGGAGGAAGGGGGCACTTCCTGGCTCTGACCAGCTTCTGAGATTAGCTCCATCAGGTGCATCTTCTAGCAAATTCTGAAACCCAGGGGTCCAATGGTCACTCTCTGGAACAGTACAGTGGTGATCTGGAGACCCCTGGTGGCCAACAGCTGCAGGACAAGACCTTTCCTTAGAGCTCTGCCCAGCCAGCATCAAGCCTAAAAGCCACCAGCAGGCCCCCTCCAGCCCCAGAACTCCCCTGCCACCCAGGCTCTTTGGGTACCCTCCTTAGCCGACCCTTCCCATATAGCCAGGCACACCTGCCCCATCTTACATTCCAGGACATCAAGGAGAATGGGAATGGCGCAGCCTGGTGTGGGGGTAGGGTCCCAGTCTCCCAGTCAGAGTAAAGTAGAGGGATACGTAATCTACAATAATTAATTCTGGGTGGGGGGACCAGCTGTTTGGTTGCTGGGACTTGCATGTTTGGCTCATTTGGGAAAGATGATGAGGTGGTGTTTCAAATAGCTCTTTCCTCTCCCTCACACAACTGCACATCACACAACCCTGGGGCTGTAACTGGGAAAGTTACTAAGGGGCTTTGTTTCCACAGCTTGCCGACCCTGTAATGCTGCCCAAGATTAACTCTGGGAAAGGAAATATCCAAAACCTCACGCCATACAAACGGCTGCTGGAAAGTAGATTGTGGTACTGGGAGGGGAGGAAGGGTGAGGGCCCCCCTGGAGAAGGGAAAGGGTGGTGCAGCTCACTTTTCTTGGCAGGGTCCAGACACCGCACAACGCTTTCCACGTCTGGGCCCCGGCATTCATTCCCTTCATCTGTCCTTCATTCACTCAAAACCAAATACAACTGGACCCAGGCTTATCCTGGGTTCTAAGAATACAGTTTACCAAAATGGGGTGCCTTCCCTAGGCCCCAAATTGTACCTTGTAGGGGAAGTAGAGGCTTCGAGAAGGATGGGATCCCGGAGAGTATGAGCCTCCCTACACTTGGGGACACAAAAGTGACCTTTCCACACCCTGGCTGGGTGGCTCAGTCAGTTGGAGTGTCGTCCCATGCATCAAAAGGTTGTGGGTTCGATTCCCGGTAAGGGCACATACCTAGGTTGTGGGTTCCATCCCTGGTTGGGGTACATACAGGAAGCGGCCGATTGATGTTTCTCTCTCCCTTCCTCTCTCTCTAAAATCAATGGAGCCCAGCCGGGCGTGGCTCAGCAGTTGAGCATGGATTGACCTAGGATCCAGATAGAGGTTCGATTCCCCGTCAGGGCACATGCAAGGTCGTGGGCTCGATCCCCCCAGTAGGGGACGTGCAGGAGGCAGCAGCCGATCAATGACAATTCTCTCATCACTGATGTTTCTCTCTCTCTCTCTTCCTCTCTCTGAAATCAATAAAGATATATTAAAAATAAAATCTTTCTCTTTAAAAAAATATAAATAAATAAAATAAAATCAATGGAAACATATCCTCAGGTGAAGATATAAAAAAAAATAGTGAGCTTTCTTCCTTCTTGGCAGCCTAATGGAGCTGCAAGAGGCAGGTCATGTGCAAACTGCATCTCTTCCTGGTGTCCCCGAACCCTAGTCCTAACCTACACTGAGACACTCTTCAAGCACAATGCATCATTATTGGTCCTCACCTCAGTCCTACTAACCTTGGGGAAGGCCTGGAGGCCCCATCCTACCCCCACCCACCCCGCCTCCAACAACCTGAGTATTGAGACCTTAAGGCCCTAGATATCCTCAAGACAAGTACTACCAAACAAGGTCTGACAACCTCTGATCCCCCTAAACCCTTTAAAAGCTATCCTAAGCTCTGTAAGGCTAGTAGAGGAAGCCACAGGCCTGCTCCCCTCCTCTCACAATACTAACCAGGCATCATCATTAAGAACATGGGCTTTGGAGTTTGGCTGGGGCTTTGAACCCTACCATCTCCACTTACCAGCTGTCTGACCTTGGACAACTTGCGGCCTCCCCTCTAAAAATGGAATTATTGTGAATTAGATAATGCATACAAAGTATTCAGTACAGTCTGACACATGGTAAGCACACAATAAATGGTTCCCAACACTAGGGTTTACATGGTCTTTTTAAGCCAAAACCCCAAATTGGTGACCAAGAGCCCAGCATAGTCCATTTTGATATGTCTGGGACAATGTCTGCTTCTAGATTTTACTACAGAGTAGACCCAAAATAACTCTTAAAGGGCCTAGTTTGCTCCTAGGTTTCCCAGGCTCTTTGGTCTGTGGGAAAAGTCATTCCTAGACCAAGTAAAATCAAGGCAGGACCCAGGAACTTAGTTGGTCCCCTCACCCCATTGTAATAAAATTCCCAGGGCTGAGCAGAAAAAAAAACAGGATAGAATTGGGACTTCACTCAAGAATGTATCTTTATTGAAGAATTTGTAAGAAAAAAGGATGAACCCTCTGTAAAAAGAGGAGATGTTGCCTCCAAACAGCAGGGAGGAATGAGACCTGGGTGGCTTCCCAGAAGTCAGTGTTTCCAGCACGACTGGCTCCCCTCTCCCAGCAAGCACTAGATGTGTCCACTACCACCAGCAGCTCCC